TTTGTGCGTACTACCGATCAATAACTGATCAATGCACAGTTTCCGTGTAACTGACAGGTCCCGCCCAATATGGTGCCACGCAAAATCCGGATTAAAAGTAATTGTTTTGTCAATTGGGTGATAATAATCCTTTGCTAGACCTTGTACAATTTGATCGGACCAGGAAACCGAAGCGTTTTGCACCGTTTGGAAATAAAAAATTTTATTTGTTTCTTTACATAAATGCACCAGAATGACGGTGGTGTTGATTAATATTCCAGTGGACAGCGATAGCAAAGTAACTGTGGTAATGGGAGACTAGACCAAACAACAGTATTCAAACTGAGAGATATAACAACAAGCTGGGTGTTGAGACCGACTGCGGCATACTGAGGTGGTGGTCTTATTGGAGAACGAGTGTTCCGTTCGTCTTCTTAAAACTAATCCATTTGATGAACACTGGAGAAAGCTCAAGGAAAGCAACTGGTAAAACTGCAGGTTCAACAATCGTGGGGTTAGCAACCCAACAGTAATTGTCAAGGGAGTGAGAACATAAGGAGAATCACCTTCATAAATCAAGAAATGGATTTCAGTCCCAAATTATAAGCACATTATGTCATATATCAGGTAAGTTAGTCCATGGCGGAATGAAGTTAAACTGCAGAACTTTCGAATTCCTCTATTATTCACACGTTATTTCGTCCATTCATCGGCCGTGGCTACCCACGCGCACCCTAGTGTAGCTACCTCATCGCTCAAGCGCCGTCAGCCAGAAGGATGTCGGATGTAAGTATAGAGCAAAATGTAGGCAATTATGTGGCACAGGAATGCCGCCCGGATATGCTCGGGAGCACCTTGCCAGCCGAACGATGTCAGAGTTCATGACGGGGATGAGAGTGTCGGCCTTAGGTCACCAGCTGAGGTATAAGACAAGTTGGGTCGATGTAAGAAAGGGGGTTGGAGCATGCCCTACATTCATCCCTCTGGCCGACTAGCAGAACAACCTCATGGTGCCAGTTGCGTGATTCGGGTTAATCCTGTTCCAGCAAATAGTTCGACGGCAGTATTCCAGGAGGTGATGGGTTTTCGCCTGACAAGCGTTCTCCTTATAAAACATTAAACGTCGCGTAGACCCTCTTGTTCTGAAGTTGCTCAACAGATATGTGAGCTTCAAAGTCAGGATCGCGAAGGCGGATGTGTGTCTCGATTTCCTTAAAACGTGTGTCGAAAGCAGCAGCTACCCAACGAGATACTGGAGATCTCTTCGTCGTTCACGCATCAGGCCAGAAGACAAATGCCTGAAACGTCTTGCGCTGTGTCAGATAGACACCATTCGCATCAAGAGAGATGAGCTCAAGCGTGCACTGAGCCAAGTTAGTGCTGTCTCAACCAACCTATCCGCAAGCGATCAGGAAGAGATGGAGGAAACGATTAAAGCAATTATCACAAAGCAAGAAGGAAAGTTACGCACTTCACTCACAAAGACAATAAAGAAAGAGAGAGGCACAACAACTTTCCCGACCGAACCTGAGAAATACGTCCAAAATCTGTCTGGTTTCCCGCTTGATCGCACCACTACTGAAGTGTTATCATAAACGGCAGAGCCGTCGTTCCGCCTGACTTAATTGTTGCAAACCCAGTACTATCAGTACGCAAGGGTGAACATCCACAAAAACCAATTGTTTGGGAGTTATATATGCCGCAGGGACCCTTGTCAAACAGGAATATGATGGCTGACAGGTGCCAACCAGAATGCGTTTCCTCAAGGTACCATTATGCCGAAGTTACAAGTTAGTTGCTAACTACTTTCAGCAACAATAGAGCGGAAACAAGGTTCATGTATCTCATTAGCGGAGCTGTACGCTATCTGCGGGTCCCCACGTTGCGGATTGGTGAATGCCCTCTTTGTGGAGGTAACTGCGAATAAATCTCGTTTGCTTTGCAAGCGAGATGAATATGCAGTCGCGGACAATCAGCGGCAGCGTCTCAGAGCGTGCGGAGTACTTGGATGATCACATGGTTCTCCATCAAACACCACAAGAGCCAGTACGACGCTGTATCAAAGCCAATGTGACCGGATATAGGGTCACTGACCACTCAATTCTGTAACCAGAAGTGAGTACTCAACAGAGGGCGGATGAACAATCTTGCTGGCTACCGCCTTATCTGTGGACTGCTACGGAACACTAAGAAGGCGAATGAGCCACCTGGCTGCCAACGGCCTTCATGAATCGCCCCGCTGCCTGGCACGTGAGGCCTTTATGACCAAAGGCTCGGGGTGGGGTACCTTAAGTCAACCATCTTCCTCGGCCTGGGCAACCGGGAAGATCTCTGCCCACACAACACTTCTAAACCCTTTTGACTCTTCCACTGACTCTGTTTTCGTCTTTTTGTTATTATTGATGTGTTGTGGCACTGGCAATCGTATATAGGTCAACTGCTGTGCTATATATATATATATATATATATATATATATATATATATGCTTCGTGCCGACGCTGATTTTGCATTCATGATGCTTCTTCACCGCAGTTGGGCTAAACCAACTAACACAAACTAGGGTTTTTTAATGTGAATAAAATGCATTCCACTTTATTTGGTTTGTTCTGTGTACCTGATAATCTTCCCCTAACTTGCATACGTCGCTCATGCTAATTGTGGTAACATGCCATAATTTTATTGCGTGGTAATTTTTCAATAACTTTCGGACATTTTGTACATATCGCGGATTCGCTTATAACCAATTTACTCCATATGCTCATTTAGCGAGTATTTATGTCGTCGTACACGTTTACTCCATTCCATATCTTTTCTTTGATATCTGCATTTCTAATGATTGGTTGTTGTTTGACATTCCTGGTGTGGCTGCGCTTGATGTGCATGTTGACAAGGTGCCTTCCTGTCTATTACTCTCGTCCATACTGGCTCTAGGAGACGGTTGGTTGTTGCTGGAGGGGACGGGGTGCACGGTTCTTGTGGTCGTGCTAGGCTCGAAGAGTGGTTCCATGCAATCAGTGTGGAGCGGACTACGGTCCAACCACCGTTTTGTGCGCGCTTGATTCCCCAAATACAGCGCGCTTGTGTTTGCCTGTGAAGGAGTGTGGGCCGGCTCCGTTGATGCAACGTGGCTCCCATCCGCATGCCTCCCGGTCTTATTCCTTCGGGTTTACACTGGATATGGGGGTGTGTGGATGGAGCTGTGGGTGGTGCAGCGCAAGCCATCTATGGTCGCTCTGTAGGCGCAGGCGACCTGTATTTGACCACAGTGACAGGCACACCCGAAACTGAATGCCGCCAAGGCAGTGGGCAGCAACAGCTCAGTAGTGTGACAGTGGGAAACACCAGCGGTTTCTCAATACCAGTCAAATGTAGAGAAAGGATAATTTGTAAATGGTTGTGATCGAATCGGGTGATACACACGCGGTCACGACCAATCGCAAAAGGCGTTGGGAACGTTGCATCTCATCGGCAAGGAGACAACCGAGTTGAGACGGCAATCGGTAGTATGTTGTCTTTTATGGTTGATTTTTACACAGAGCACTGTTCAGATAACTTTAGTATTTTATCGTTAGAGTATGGAGACTAAGATTATAAAACCCATGAGAATTGGCCTGTGTGGCACTGGTGTTTGGGTAGGTAAATAAAAACGAAACTGACGGGAGCATTGTGCCCACACAATAAAAATTTCTGTCTCGCTTCAACAGGCCTGTAGCGTTCGGTAGAAAGAGGTAAGCCTGGTTGAAATATTTGGAATAAGACAAAAAGAACAGTGGATTGAATAGACGGTGAGTGGTTGCTGGGCACGTACATCTTTGGGTGACCTAACGTAAACATTTGTCGTGGACGACACGAGGTTTATAGGCTTCAGCGAAGTTAACTTCCGGACGATTATTGCAGTCGGACCATGGACATTAATGAGCAAGTACGAGGAACGCCTCTCCGGTATTGGATTTATCAGAGAGACGAAGGGAGGTAGGAGAGCTGTACGCACACGAATCCAAAAAATGTTAGGACAAGTGTGAAGGGATATGCAGTAAGAACTAGGTATTGTCCTCCACTTGGCACTACAACTAGGACAGCCTGAAGAAAAAAACGCGCTAAGGAGGAGAAAACCTCAGCTGATGGTGTAGTGGTAAGGTGGTAGCGAAGAAAAGGGAGCACGATGGTAAACAAAAAAGAAAGTTGATCAGGAGCTGAGGCAGCCGCAGAACACACCGTGTGCAAATATATGCATGGACAAGTGAATCAGTCATCACGTTGTTCGATCAGAAGGCAAGGTAGAACAACTGGCACGAACGGTAGTAGCAGATGTAACGAGAAGTCGAAACGCTGAGCCGAAAGGGTATCAAAAATACCCGAATGTGCAATTCAACTGAGTAATAGAGCCGAGATGCAGTAGATTGGTCCACAAATTTATTAGCTTAAAGAAAGCGGTATTCAGCTACATAAGTGGCTCCCTTTATAACAGCCGACTGTGACAGAAAGACGAGAAAGGATGGCATGGAGTAGCACCCCGAACCAAACGTTTATCCAGAAAATTCAGGTTAGACTCAGCCAAAGAGTACATAATGTCAATGGCAGGTAGTGGAACTAGTGAGGCTTACAAGGAGAACATTCATCGCCCACTATCGTTAGTCGAAGCTTCCGCCAATTAACTATTAAGACCTAGTTCATGTAAATACATGGCATCGAAAGTTAGCAGCATCATGCATCGGTAAATGTAGTGGCCCCATTTCTTCATACAAAGTGCTGGTCAATGTCAAAAGGCCTTTGGCAGAGGTGGCTCCATCAATGATGGCGTGTGTCGGCTGCTCATGCAATTCCCCCATTGTGTGCTGGTTACTGCGCTGGCCACATGCAAGTGGACGAAGGAATTAAAAAAATGGGTGAACATACACTAGGCTCTTAAAAGATTGTTCACATTCTGCTGTTTTGAAAGAAGAAAGTCAAGGAAGAAGCCCCATAATGGGAGCACAGTGTGCCGTGAATATTATGTTCTCAGACTACCATACAGGAGTTCCTTGTTCAAAACCCGAGTCTGCACAGTTAAAACCTATCAAAAGTACTATAGATAGAAATAGAGAAATAATCAATTGAAGTTCGTGAGAAGTAAAGCCCAATGTATTTTTCAAACTTCTCCAACAGTGCAAGCAAAGCGGACGCATCTTGGGATACTGTGGCTACAATGTTTAAAAAACCTAAAAATAACCAGATGGATGATAAAAAGTAAGAAAAAGCCAGAGGTAAAGCTGTGCAGCAACGGGGACAAATACGAACACTCGGGGACACCCAGTAACATAGGGAAGTATGAGTCGTTAATAAGTGAGATGTGAACATGAGCGTGAAAACAAGTGAACGCAAAGTGCACACTGAGAGCGATCACGACCAAGTGACAGATGGAGCCAGGCAAACCGACGTCATCCCGACAACAACGAACTGAACACAAAGCTTTACGCGAGTAAGTTTTGAATGAAGAAGAAATCACATTCTTCGGGCCCAGTGATCACAAAGCGGTGGGCTCCGTGATGAGCCATCGCTGTGGCTCAGCATCAATAAAAATGGATGTGCTGGCGTGGGTAAAAAGGGTGGGAAAAGGGAAATAAAGTAAAAAGCAAAACGAAATCGATGTTTGTCGGTCGCTCCACAGACTGCCTGTAAAGACAACTGCAAACGTAATTCAATTCAGCTGGTTTCATTGACAAAGCTTCGGGTTAGACAATGTGAATCAAGCTGATCACCGGCGAACTAAAAGGGAAAGAGAATGAGAACCACTAATTCGAAGATCACAGTTTGGAAACGGTTACAACAGGGTAACAAAATCAGTGGTTCTGAACTTCCTTACATTTACAGCGAGGAAGTGGCAAAATGAACGCTAGCGAAAACAACGGACCAAGCAACACATGAACGAGGTGGCCACAGGTAAACAGAAGGATATATAAAAGCGAATCGAGTCCTGTTGATTGTCTCACCGTTTAGTAGTAGACGGGTGATATCACAGGATGCATTGACACATTAAAAAACCATAAGTGTGTTTAGCCGGTAGACGATAGAGTGTCTGAGTAGTGTGAGTGCCACTATGAAAATATGCGAGCTGACCTGACAGCTTGCTCAGGCTATCTATCTCTACTAGAACTGCATGCATCTGCTGTCCTAAGAAGGACACGAGATATGATTATTTGTCAACCCACAGAAAGCGTTGGGCAGCATTTTATCGTGTACTAAAGCAGTGAGAGAGGTAATTAACAGTGTGCCATAAAATAGTAAATGGTGAAACAAAGTAGACTCACTGATGTGTTGATCACTGACAACCGAAGAGCCAGACGGAGACGAGACACAGTCACGAACAGAATCACTCAGGGTGTTGGACAACAGAGAGGAATTCACCTGACTGCTCGCATATGAACCTGAGTGTACAGTTGTATTATGCGATGAAGAGGGTTGCTGATTTTTGCATAAAGGCTGCAGGAACCGTTGAGAAGAGGAAAATGAGCCAGCGGAAGGTCCGTTGCTTGTGGCAGTATGAATTTCCGTCGTCATGGGTCGGACAAACTGCCCGGTGGCACTAGGGCTCAGCGGTGGGAGACGATGAACTGGTCGATAAGATGCGCCAAGTAAACTTGCTCGCTGACCGGTGCGTACCACATCAAACAATGTTAGCTAACAAATAGTGAGAAAAATCAAATCAAAATTCTGTCATGGGCTAGGGAGGGTTGATCGAATAATTCAATTTATTGTAGGTGTAGTGCTGCATATGGGTTTCCATAAATAAATGCGCACAATAATTTTAGGCAACAAAATTCCCCGTCATGAGTTGAAGACAATGGAAAACAGTTTGATAACTGCAGATCAGCAGAAACAGAATGGACAGGTATTATATTTTTTGGATTTCAAGGAACAGAGTATGTCAATTTGGACTATGGTTGGTAGGGAAGACAATATGAAAAAATACATAACCGGCTTACACGCTTTAGTGAAAAAGAAGCAGAACAAAGTGACTAAGTAGTAACCGAAAAAGTTTGTTTGCCTAATATGAACCCCAAAGTCTGAAAATAAATGAGTGGTTGTGGTAGAGATAAAAACGATGCAATGATATGCAGTAGGCTGTGCATAATACGCAGGAAAAAACACTGTACAGGTAACCAATGGACAGCTTAAATTATACAAACATCTATATCAAAAGGCAAATAAATGCAAAATCAGAATGTGGCCAATCACAGTTCGGCGAATATTAATGTAATGCTCAGCGGCCGAGAGAAACCCATTTGAGGCTAACGAGTGAGTAAGGTCATGGTAATGAAGTTGGCACTCATAATGGGAAGGGAAATATTTCAGTTGCCACTGTTAGGTGGTTGAATAATTATCCACAGTGATGATTCAGCATCTTGATGTCATACAACCATTTAAGAGATCAGCGAAACGAACAAGAGATAACAGTGGGATTAAAAGGAGACTAGTATAAGGCTTAAATACATTCAAATAATTTTCATAGTCAAGGCGCATATAGCTTGAATATATCATGCAAAGATAAGCAGCTCCGACGACGTAGTGTTCTTGTGGTCGCCACCACTGCATTGTACTCACTCTTAATCCAGACAGCTATGCACTAAAAAACTAGTTAAACGAGAATTCTGAATAAGAAGTGACAGCAGGCACTGGCTAAGAGCCATCTCCTGTTGATCTCTCGAGTGAAGTACAGAATGGTCCGGTGAACCTCAGTCTGGAAAGCAAACATGGAACTGACAATGCAAGTCATGGTGGTGATTCCCCACTACCAGATCGATGGCTATCACCTTCGAACCATGTGCATTTCAACATCAGGATACGAAAACAAAGCTATTCAGGGTAAGCGGTAGTCGTGCATATGTAGCATGTGTCCGAGTCAACATAGCCTATTTTGTCTCGCACCGGTAGGGAAACTGAAAAAACGACGAGGGATTTTAGCCTGCCAGCAAGAAGCAGAATGTACATCATCATCAACAGTAGTATATCAGCCATCTGAACTGATGCTGCGCTAAGATACAACCATAAGGACCTACGGAAGAAAGAAGAATAAGAGGGGAAAATGGGGGAATTACCGCAAAACCTTAACCTCCCAAACAGACATTCAGGGTCAAGGCGACTACACCTTGTCAACAAAATGCAATCACAAGCAGATGGCTATCGTGCAAAGATAAAGTGGCATCTGCAAGACAGCTCCCTTGCGGCTTTCACTGCCGAGCGTCATAATCAGCCATCACCTTGCAGATAACTCAGCACCAAACATGCTTTAAACAGCCAGTCCGACTAGGAAACGGCAGCAGACGCGCCACTTGTGCTGACTGCGAGCCATGTCTTATAACGTCTCGAGCCAAGCACAAGACGAGTCACGTGGACTCCAGCCTAGAAGGTAAGACGGACAGACGGCATTCAGTTTGGTCGTCAGTGACTTCATTTCCCGCTGCCAAATCAACGTTGGTCCACCTCGAGCCTTGCGTCATCCCACAACTGGCAAACAAAACAAGAAACTCCTCGGTAAGCGGTGACCGGGCATATGTAGTAGGTGTCAAAACCAACGCAACTTATTCTGTGCTATCTGATGATGTAAGGAACTAGCTTGCGTATCATTCTTTAGCACTCGCGCACTCACATCATCGCTGCGGACAAGCTAATGCCACCGACATCAGCAATGCACCGCAGACCGCAATGATCAAAGACTTGAAGGCGCCTCAAATCTCCCGACCGCAGAAGCCAAGTCTCACTCCCATAGAGTAGGACGGACCTCACTGTGGCCTAGCAAACACGGCCTTTCAAATGGAAGAAAACTGCTTTCTGTCTCCAAAAAATGTCACAGATTCAAAAGGCAGTTCTGGCTTTTGCTATGTGCTCATTGTTGTTGATACGTATGCTAAGGCAAGTGAATTGAGCAACTACCCGAGTTCCCCACTATCTAGGGTCAAGAGGTCAAGTGGGTGGTGGTCTTGCAGTGACACTTTGTATTTTTAAGGTGCGAAGTTCATATGATACAATGGGACCAGCCCAGAGAGGCTATTATGGGTTGATTGGGCAGCTCCAAAATCGGTCAACAGCAAGACGATATCGTCCGCATAATCAAGATCAATCAGCCTTTCAACGCATGTATCATGAGATTCCGTAAGGGAATGCTCCAAGAGGCAGTCCCCGAAGAAACTAAACAACCCTGCCGAATGTCCTTTGCTGCCGGAAAGATGTCTGATAAGTCAGCGAAGACACTGACGCGGCCTGTAGTGTTCGAGTACAGAGCACGTAAAGTGATCACATATTACATGGGAACATTTCCGAGCAAGCATTTCGAACAGAATGTATCGATCGACTGAACCGAACCCACTCTTGAAATCGAGGAACACAGCTACTGTTGGTCTGTGGTACACGTGGCGCCGCTTTAGCACCTGTCGCAGAGTGAATATATGGTCCATACAGCCACGTCCTGGGCGGAAACATGCCTGCTCTTCCCTGATCCGAGATTCCTGTTCCACAGTAAGGCAAGTAATTTTGTCACAACTGGAGTAACGTAATACGCCTGCGGTTAGCACAGTCAGTGCGACAGCCTCAATATTCGGTTCCCTCCAGTTAGCCGTGAAGGTCTCATCCTTTCACACAGTTCGAAAAGTGAGGTCAGCGCTTTGCAGAGGACCTCACCTCCATCCTTAAAAAGTGCAAGGAATCCGGGCCAGCAGCACGGAAACGATTGAAGGCGGTGATCGCGTTTCAAACCTCAGCCTCCAATGGAGCCACTAAACTAACCGTCCATGGCTCATCCTGCATCGCCAGAATAGGAAAACATCCGGAATCAGGGGTCCAATTGAACTGATCTTGAAAGTGTTCCGCCCAACGAGCCATCCGCTGCTCCTTCTTGTGAATCTAGGTACTGGAACTGTCTCAGATTGTCTCCATAACACATGGTTTCAGTGACCAGTGGTGCGGATCAGCTGGAAGAGCTTGCGATAGTTCCCTATCGTTCCCGCCTCCTCTATTTCTTGACTCCGACTGGTCCACAAGGCTTCCTTGTCAGCGCGCAGGCTTCACTTTCGTTCGCGCTTAATAGTCCGCCTAGTCACATTGTGCTCAGAACTAGCCGGGAGGTTTCTTTTGGATTCCAACAGATTCACTGACCTCTCGGATAGCCAGTGACTGGTGCGGTGATGACTGATAATGCTACAAACAGAGGCTCCTGCGTTGTGCTTGGCGGCCGAGATCCTATTCCACTGAAGCTCTGTACTTAAGACAAGACAGCGAAAGTTCAGTATGCAGTGCAGCTTGGTGGACATGAGTGACCGAGGGCTGGGATAAATTTCAGTTGCCAATCGGAGGAGACATTTGATGCGTCTCGCGGTAGAGTTCATGGAAAAATGACAGAATATCAAGGCATGAACAAAGTCGACGCAAGTAATCCAGAACGAGCGACAATCGGTGATGGAACCAAGCCGCCTGTAAACTATGGCAATGTGATCTAGTTAAGTCCATCGCTGACCAGCTACAGCACAACAGATGGTACTTAGGCACCCACTGTGTCTGAAAGCAGTGCTACTAAGAAACAGCTGATCCTAAGCACAGTTGCAAAAAGACGCTCGCCGTTATCCGTACGGAAGTAGTTAAGCCCATAATTACCACCAAGCTGAGCTTCTGAAGAGCCCAGGCGAAAGACTTGTGAATTCATACCCCACGGAAGAATTATAATATCCGAAATGGTAGCACTGAGTAGTGGCGTGTTCAGTTCGTGGCAGAATGTGTTCCTGGCAGCATCAGAACAGCAATCGGTGGAAGCATAAGGGGAAACCAAAAACAAACAGTGTCTTGTACTACTTCGTGAATCAGCTTTAATTGATGTCGTCAAACGAGTTGCACACAAAAAGCTGTTCAACAATGGTGACTTAGCCTTGGAGTTGAGTAGGATATTTAAACCAGTTTGACCACAGACCGCCGCATCAGTATCAACGGATGCGCGCAACTAATAGTAAGAGGACAAGCCGGGCGCACTTAATCCGACAACTCCCCGAGGGTCACTGATACATGTTATCAATACACAACATACGTCAATACCCACTGAGACCAACGTGCGTGCGAGTGCAGCCTGTTAATGTATTTGTTTTAGAGTGCAAACGCTGAACGCCGTCAGGGAAACGGGACAGTGTAGCCTTACAAGGGAAGCTAAGATAATGCCCATGGAAAAGTAGAACACGGGATTGCAAAGAGAGCACCTTTTCGGTATTTTACATCAGGCAACTACAGCTACAGGACTAATAAATGCAACAGTAACCTGGTGAAGTCAAAAATGAGGACGGATGGGACGGTTTGAACAGATTTAGCATATTCGTTTGATGTTCAAACCGATTTAGTCAGGTGATAGGGCTAACAGACAGCAAAACAACTTGTGTAAACAGGAGGCAAAAAATACTCGCAATATAAAAATTAGATACTTACATAAATAGATAGCATCCGGTTATGCGTGATACTCCGGGACAAGATTTATCATCTGGGCCATGGTAAAGTCAAGGGTTGCACAAGCACCCTATGCTTGCGTAGCTCTGGTTGTGTTAGCCGGATCGCGATGGCTTCAGCCGTCTGCAAGAGGCGTCTACTTAACCCTTTCGGGTATCGCCTCGGTGCGGCAAAATAGACCTTGAAGGCATCTTTGGTCAAAA